AGCTCCTGATGTGAGGGTGAAATTCTGGGAAGAGTCCTCTTTCCGCTAACTTTTGAGATGACTTTCACTCTCTTAAAAAAGCAAACAAGCCCAGCGAGTGCACACGTGAGCCAAGTGCATGTGGACTCTGGAAATGCTCTGAGACCTCCGGCTGGCAGGTCCTCAAGAAGCATTTCCTTGCATCATCTCTGCAGGGGTCAGCGATGGCATGGTAAGAACATGGGTAAGGGTTGGGCCCTTGATGCCAGTCACGCTAGGTTCAAATAAAAACTTCAGAGTGAGACTCTGATTGGTTGTGCAGACAATAGTATGTAAGCAAACCATTCCAGAGTCCAGCCATAAATATGCTTTCAAAACAAATACATCCATAGCTAAAAATAGGCTGTTGGTGAGGTTAAAAGTCTCTAAGAAGGAAGTAAACCTCAAGTGCTAAAGAATTCTCTCAAGGAAGCTGAGATAAACAATAGAAATCATGTGCTTGGCTTATGCTTGCCCAAAGACAGTATATAAGCCCCGCCACCAGCAGAAGAAGGCATCAGACCATCCTCTCTTCTCCCAAGTCGCTTTTCTGTTCATTTGATCTGAGTCCTCTCTACTGACACCATGGGTTGCTGTGGCTGTGGTGGTTGTGGTGGCTGTGGCAGCTGTGGTGGCTGTGGCAGCTGTGGTGGCTGTGGTAGCTGTGGCGGCTGTGGAAGTTGTGGCAGCTGTGGAGGCTGTGGTGGCTGCAACAGCTGCACCACCTGCAGATGCTACCGGGTTGGCTGCTGTGGCTGCTGTGGTGGCTGCTGTGGTTGCTGCAAGCCTGTGATCTACTGCTACCGCCGCACCTGCTGCCGTTCCTGTGGCTGTGGCTCCTGTGGCTGTGGCTGTGGGAAGGGCTGTTGCCAGCAGAAGTGTTGCTGTTGCCAGCAGAAGTGTGGCTGCAAGAAGTGCTGCTGCTAGGATGACAGCTGGCCTCTGGGCAGGTGACAGTAGGATCCAGGCTCATACACTTATATATTATATAGCACATACATGCATACATGCATACATACATACATACATACGACAGCAACCCCTCTCACTTTATCTACATATCAAGTTGTGGGGTTGAATAGAAACATACCTGATTAGAAAGAAGACTAAAATAAATTTGTGCTCTGCTGGAAACAGCGAACCATGGATAACTAAGTCAGCCTCCCTGAATTTTGCTCACTTATCTATGAAATAATAAAGTTGAACTCAGCCTCTCTAAAGACCTCTTCAACTTTAATAGCAGATACATCTATTGAGTTCTTAAAACTGAACTCATGGCCCTTCTGCCTTTAGACTTTGAAGATTTATTTCACTTCTACACCTACATAACTTGAATACTTAGAGTATTATTTTAAAAAATGCACTGCCAACTATTACCTGAATTGTCATGAAAACAGGACAAAGTTCATGAAGGACCAGAAAATTCACATTAAGGATCTCAGCTGAATGAAAGAATACATTCTAAGCTGGGCAGTAGAGACCCACACCTTTAATGCCAGCATGCAGGAGGCACAGGCAGATGGCTTTCTGAGTTTGAGGCCAGCCTGGTCTACAAAGCGAGTTCCAGGACAGCCAGGACTATTGCATAAAGAAAGCTTGTCTTAAAAACTATGATTAATAATAATAATAGATAAAAGAATGTATCCTGTGATTTTGAAATGTTTACCTTTGAAGAAATACCTGTATTTACACATCTGCTTACATTGGTTGTATACTGCATGTGTTTTAGCTTTAAAGTATTCTCTTCTTTCCACAATATAATTTGTCAATAAAACAATGAAAAATATTGTGTTTCACTGTCTTTGGTTTGATTTTTTCACTGACTGTTTGAACTGATGTTTTAGCAACACAGGTTGCAAACTCCAGGAAGGTTATAGGATACACAAGGGTTAGCCAGGAGGTGGTGGTACACACATTTAATCCCAGGACCATAGGAGGTAGAGGCAGGTGGATCTCTGTGATTTCGATGCCAAGCCTGGTCTACAGAGTGAGTTCTAGGACAGCCAACACCACACGCAGAGAAACACTATCTCAAAAATAATGGCACCAAAAAAAGAGATAGACAAGGTTTGACATTGAATATAATAGGGGAATGCAAGCTACTGAAATAGACACAAAAATGTACAGTGAGTCAATAGAAGTTTTTCTGGTTGATGTCAGTAAACCTGGGCAGAAAAGAATATGGGCCAAGGGACCTGCTCTCATTTAGTTATTCGGGATCTAGGTTGAAGAAGGTGTTGACATGGCCAATGTGTGACCTCTAAGATAGTTTAGTTGTTCCCAGTCTATGGTGGATAACAACGTAGGCAAACCCTAGTACTTACAAAGCAATTTGGCTTGAAAGTGACATGTTTTCTTTCCCTCTCTTCCAATTGGTTTGATGTAGTCACATGGTCTTACTTAGTTTTAAGTGGGCAGAGCTGGAAAACACATAAGTGTGGAGCTGTATAATAATACAAGAGGAAAATTCATATATACATGTATATTAAAAATTCATAAAAATCAATTGTTACTTATGAGCATCATATGTAGTTTAAACTCTATCAAGACTCTCATTGGTTTTTGGAGACATGCTAAGGCAACTTTGGTGAATGTTTACTACCTATTCACATCTCTTGAATTCTTGCTGGAGTAGTTCAACAGGATAGGCAGCAGGCTGCATAGTTAAGACCTAGCTTGTCATCATATGAACCCTTTACACAGGGTGGAGCTTTGGAGACAGGATAGAAAAGACAGTAGGAGCTGGCGAGTCCTGGCTTACTTTAAAAATATTACTTGTCATTCTAGACTCACAAGCATAAACTTGGTTCAAATTGTTTCCAAAGGATCTGATGTTCTAACGTTTCATGAGATAGCTATGGTGATTATGGTGTCTTTCTGGTTGTCCTTCCTGTGCAACAAAGGCATCCTCTGCATCTGGAATCTGGAGATAGAATGATTAGATGGATCTCTGAGAGATATGGAAAACAGCACAAGTTAAAGGCCATCTTCTTGCTCCTGTCTATTGCTGTTGAAAAGGAACACACTGTATTTCGTGGTTCCAGTGACAGCTTCATAGACCTCAAGATGCAGTAGAAATGACAGTAATTAGGTCAGTTTCCAGGGTTCAGTCACCAGCCTGGAGTGTGTGGCAGCACGCTGATGAAAACAGTGGCAGTGGTCTCCCAAGCTGCACCTAAATCGAGTTTTTTGTTTTTGCATCTGAGTGTCCCAGGGAGAGTGGCTTGATTTCTCTGTCTTTCTGAAGGGTGTAGAGGCAGCAGCTCCCTGTCCATAGTTCAGTTGTCATGTCCTGGGAAGACTTTCTACAGACAAGCAAAGTCCCCAGCTTTTCCTCTGGCCTTTTTTTTTTTTTTTAGCAATTTTGCAGACAAAATCTCTCAACAGCGTCTCTTCTCACTTTCTCACTTAACATAGCAACATAGTAGAAGAATTTTGAATTTGAATTTTTTTTTGTGAGTGACTGACATGGTTACAAGAATGCTTTTCTCATCACTTTCCGGTCAAATTTTAGCCATTTTCAAAGCCTCAAGGAACACTGGTTCCCAGCTCAATTGAATAGACTTCTTTCTTCTGAACATCTGGACTCCTGCTGGTTTTGTCATGCCATGTGCCAAACAATTAGTGTACTTTCCAATAATTGGCTTTAATAACTTTTTGTTTCAGCTCTTTTGGTTGCAGAAAAGTAGAAACTCACTAAAGAGTAGGAAAGGGTATCATGAGACTATAGGACAGGTCTGTAGTTATTCTTTGTAAGGTAGGAACCAAGATGTAGAAAGCCACTGCTCGGTCACTTAAGCCACCTCTTCTCCAAGCACAGGTATGTCCCTCCCTCTCCCCACCATAAATCCAGTGGCCTCCAGTACTGTAGTCCATCATCATCTCCAATAGTATCTGTGGCATCTGTGTTCTGGGAATAGAAGGAGGGTGTTACAGATAGAGCTCAATGACGTCTGTGTGTTTCTTCTGGATGTCCTCGTTTGAATTTTACTGCCCAGTCACACTCAGGTGCCTAATGACTCACCTTCCAGTCAGTGAACAGAAATGGAACAGGCCAGTTGAGAACAGAGGCCATCGCTGCCTCTTAAAACATGGCCTCCATACATGTGGGAGCCTGGATCTGCTGCTGCTGCTCATCTGGCCCTCTTGGGACCCACCATCAGTGCAGCCTCTTGGGGGTTATGGCGGCCGCTCAGTATGAACAAGCACTTTTGCACCTGAAGCTTCTCCCAGCTGACTGAGTCTTTCCATGAGGGACTCACAAGCGAGTAGGAGAGAGCATGGAGCTACAGTCTAGGAAGAGAAACTGGTACATGGCTCAAGGTTCGAATGAAGCCGGACACCACCATCTCTATGCCCATTGCTTCTGTCATGGTTTCCATATTTGATCACTTTCCTTCTAATTGCATTAGCCAAACTTCCCAGATGTTACAGGTGGGCTCTGTACAAATTATCTACTTTGTAAGACTGGAATAATTCAGCATCAAAAATGCTGTATGTGGGCAAACAGAAATGGAATACTAATGCTTAGAGTAATCAGGGATACTTGCAGAGAAGAAATATTTTCCTCATCTTATACATGTTTGTATTCTTGCGAAACAACTCCAAAAATAAGGATACTGCACACATAACAATAATATTAACATATGAAAAGCAGTTTTTTCTACTTGGTCATACTTTTCTTTTTTCACATCTTATAAGGCATTTCAGAAAAGGAATATTTTAGAGGATTTATGTCAAACTAGTCCACTTTTGTCAGCTTTTACTTGCCTATATTCACGTGTGAATTCACTGCACAGAAACCACAGATTATTTCTGCCTGTTTTCCTTCATCTTATCATAATACAAAATGATTATTGGTTCCTGTCATAATCCTCATAATAATGTCTGGGCCTGCTGGACTCTGAACTGCTTTCAGCAACTCATTTTTCATACATGCTAAACTTTAACCAGAACATTGGGATAAAAGGCCAGGCAGCTGCATAAAGCCAGGCGGGCATTTCTAACTGAACCAGGACAACCATGACGTGCTGTGAGGGGTGGACGTCCTGCAATGGCTTCAGCCTGCTGATTCTGGTCATTCTAGGAGTGGTTATCAACTGTATACCTCTGGGTATCAGCTTAGTGGAGGGAGACTCAGCGTCTCAAAACCCCATCTCTTGCTATGAGTGGTGGTTCCCGGGAATCATAGGAGCAGGTGCGATGGTGAGTAATACCTACTTCACTTGACTGGGAGACGCACCCGGGGTTTTTACCAATGTCTTTAAGTGTGACTTTCAACCTTGAAGCCAACTATCTCTTCATAGAATACAGTTAGGAAAGGTGGTTATCATCGACTTATACTGTTATGTTTTGAAGCATGATGATTTACATAAAACTGTAGTTCATCCTAGGGACCTTAAGACAAGCAAAAAAGAAGTTGATAGAAGGTGGTATTAGGTCATTACCGATGCATTTCTTCATAGGTAGAATGACACTTCTGGATTTTCTTATTCATTATTAAGAATTTTTTCAATGGTTTTCTTTTTTTTTTTATGTGGTACTGGGGATGGAACTCGGGGCTCTGCACATTCTAAGTCACTGAGTTATACCCCCAGCCCTATGAGGAATTTTTTAAATCCATTGTCTCATCTTTTCCTTCGCCCCATTCTGATGTCTAGGGAAAGCAGCAGTCAGTAGTGGGAAGTTGCTCAGTGAGAATGAGAAGCACTCGTGTGCATGGACAGTCTTAGGGGTGGCGTAGTGAGGTTAGCCTGTTTCTCAAGTGAGTTGGCCTAAGGCATACAGATCAAAACGCTGGGCCTCTTTTTTAAGCCGCTTGGCTATAGTCATGATGCTTTATTACAGCAATAGAAAAGCAACTAAGACAGTCTCTGACTTCACAGACTTTTTTCTTTGGCTACTACACAGATCCTAGAATGCCAAAGGGTTTCATAGTTTGATGATGGTGAATGAACTCTCTTTGTTGAAATTTGATGCAGAGTGGTACAACACAGAACTTGTGAGTGTTCTTAATAGTGAACCATCAGAGCAGTGCTGAGTCAGATTTACATTTTCTCCCAGGAATTCTGATGCAGCCAATCTGGGTAGAACCCACTTGTAGGACCAATTTTCAGATCTGGAAGAATCTGCAAGGTGACAGGTCTTTCTCTGATATATTACCACTGCCAAGTCACTTATCCTAGGGCTCTGCTTTATTATCTGTATGATAGGATCAGGGATGCTGAAATTGACAATTCATGACCTAGGAGTTTGCTTTTAGCTTGCCCTATCATTTGTATGGTGCAACAGTGGATGTAGTTAGCACCAGAGAGATGAGCTTCTGAGAGAGAAGGAGAGGGGGCGGGGAGGGAGGTAAGAGGGGAGAGAGAGCAAGCACTGTAAACACTGACATTACTAGGGTTTTGCAGACAATGAAGCATAGAAGTAGCTTTTAAAGAAACTCAGAACATAAGAGAGTTCTCTGCTTAGATCACTAATTACTGGAGGAAGTGTCTTATCCCTTCCTCACTTCATTCTTTTTCTTTCTTCTTCTCTACCCTCACCCCAGGATCTTGTACTTACAGGAGTGTGCAAACATGCCTAACTTTGAATCAACAGATTTATGCATGCGCTTTACAGGCAGCTGCAGGCAGTTGTGAACCTCTTGATGTGGGTGCTGGGGACCAAGTTTGGGTCCTTCCTAAGAGCAGTAAGTGCTCTTCATCCCTGAGTTATCTCTCCCACCTGTGGGTCACTCATTCTTAGTGAAGATCAGTTTATTGCTACTAGGCTTCTCCTTAAAATTACATAAAACCATTCCTGGAGCTGAGTGTGGTGACATACTCTTGAAATCAAAGGAGGCTGAGGTCAAAGGATTGCAAATCTGAAGTCACCTGATCTATATGACACTGGGTCTCAAAAAACCCAACCAACCGACCAAGCAACCCAATGAACAAAAAATCCAAAACAGCCAACCAACCAAAACAAAACACTAAACAACAAAACATCCTAGGCTACAGTATATTAAACTTTATATATAAAACTGTGCCCTTTGAGCCTATCTGGCATTGCAAAGCCATTCAAAAAGTCTTCCCCACAGGTTGATGGCTTCCTCTCCTTTTCCAACAGGAGTGATCTAGCTATCTGTTTCAGGTAGACAGAGCCACAGGAAAAGCTTTTCGAAAATCTGGGCTGCCTCTTCAAACTGCTGTGCCAGCTCTCTTCCAGGCTCAGCAGTGTAAAGCAACAGCAGAACATCAGACCTGCATCTGGTCTTCTAGAAGGTTCCCTCCTAGTTGAGCAGGGCTGTCCCCTTCTGTACTTGGTATAAGTAGAGTCAGAACCTGGCCGAGAGCATCTGAGCCATGGCTGCAAAGCTCCCAGAAGTGTTGCAGCTGAGATAAGCTGTTTAGAGAAACACAGCTATCTCTAGGTATGAGTTGGCACTGCTCAAAACACAGGAGAGAATATTTTCAATATATGCGACAAGTATTAAAGAGCACAGGGTGTCTCGTGTGCTCTTATTTTAGAGAAAGTGAGGGGACAGATCAAGAAGGACAGAGACACATCAAGCTTTCATTTGTTGCCATCCTGCAGGATGTCAGCTACTGGGCCCATGACCACGCTGCCAAGTTTCAGCCTGCCAATCACCTGGGCTGCAATTATCATTTTGTACTTTACAAACCAGAAAACAGAAGGCTGAGAATGTGAACAAGGTCACACAATGGGTGTGAAGCCCAACTGTAGATTTATCTAATGCCAAGGCTAGTTAAATACCATAGTCCTCAGTCCCTCACAGAGGTCAAAGATAAAATCCACAAAATGAAAGGACCAGGAAAGTGAATCACAGCAAGGTCTACACACCTGTAAAACGCTTCTGAGAATCTGGACTCCTTGGACCACAGCTAAGTTTACGGGCTTCCCCCAGTAAACATTAACCAAAGACCATTAAAGCATCAAACGCATGGAAAAGTCTGACGCTCTTCACAGGGAGGCCCTCAGACAGGAGGTTAGCCCACAAGCAAACAGATGGATGGCATCAGCACTATGGAGGCAAGCATATTTTCATGATCCTTGGCTCCGCATAAACAGAGGAAGCACATTTTTCCAGGGGGACTTATGTCCTTCATGACGTCTGTTAAAATTCTGAATTCTGCAGATAAGTTTGTGAAGGATTCAGTAAGCTGAGAATATTGTCATAGTCCTTAAAACCTTTGCATGTTGTTACTTTTCAAATTAGGATCACATCAGGAATGGGGGATTTTATAGGAAACTGAATACAATACAAACTCTGGGACTCGTTACTGATTACTTTATCAAGTCATTTATGATTTTAGGGCCAACCCATATCAGAGGTGAACCTTTTATCTTTTGTAACTGTAACCAAGTAAAACATCATGTAATTATCTTTAACAGTATCTACTAAGGGAGGGGACGTCAATATAAACGCCACTTGATCGAGCATTAAAAGATTCTAAAATGTTCCTTGAAAAATATAAATAGAAAAGCTCTTTTACCTTATATAAAGTTAATTATAAGGTGGGGCTTAATCATTCATTTATTGACTATGCATTATGTAAGGATAATTATCAAAGTGAGTTATTAAAATCTTAGTGGAAAGCAAATAACTGCAAGTTGAGCAGATTAGATTGCATGCAAAACCTTTACAAACAGAGCTTCTATGCTCATGCTGAGCTATGGCTTTGTGTGCTGCTTTCATGTTCAATAGCCTAGAGGATTCCCCAAAAGCTTGACTTCTGTCACAGTTTTTAACTGTCTACGGCTCTTGTGTACTTCCTTTATGAAACTGTACAATTTCTAAAACTGGTGGAAAGCATGGGTTCCTGCCAAGAAAATGAACAGTAATTATTTATATAAACAAGAGAAGCAAGACTGAATCAAAGATCTCAACTTCAAACCAACCACACTGGCCCTCGCAGAAGAAAAAGTGGGAAGTAGCCTTGGATGCATTGGCACAGGAGACCACTTCCTAAATATTAACACCAGTAGCACAGACACTGAGATCAACAATGGATAAATGGGACCTCCTGAAACTGAGAAGCTTCTGTAAAGCAAAAGGACACAGTCAACAAGACAAAACAGCAGCCTGCATAATGGGAAAAGGTCTTTACCAATCCCACATCTGATAGAGGGCTGATCTCTAAAATATACAAAGAACTCAAGAAACTAGACATCAAAAGACCAAATAATCCAATAAAAAAGTGGGGTATAGATCTAAAGAGAGAACTCTCATCAGAGGAACCTCAAATGAACATTCAACATTCTTAGCCATCAGGGAAATACAAATCAAAACAACTCTGAGATACCATCTTACACCTGCCAGAATGGCCAAGATCAAAAATATTGATGACAGCTTATGCTGGAGAGGATGTTCCCTTAGGGAACACTCCTCCATTGCTGGTGGGAGTACAAACTTGTACAGCCACTTAGGAAATCGTTATGGTGGTTTCTCAGAGAATTGGAAATCAGTCTACCTCAAGATTCAGCAATTCCACTCTTAGGCATATACCCAAAGGATGTACACTCACACCATAAGAACACTTGCTCAACTATGTTCATAGCAGCATTATTCATAATAGTCAGAACCGGAAATAAATCCAGATGCCCCTCAACTAAAGAATAGACAAGGAAAAATTGTACATTTACACAACGAAGTACTACTCAGTGGTAAAAAAAAATGATATCTTGAAATTTGTAGGCAAATGGATGGAACTAGAAAAAGCCATCCTGAGTGAGATAACCCAGACCCAGAAAGACAAATATGTATTCACTTAGAAGTAGATATTATACATTAAATAAAGGACAACCAGTCTACAGGCCACAACCCCAGAGAACCTAGGTAACAAAGAGGGCCCTAAGAGACATATGTATCTGCCTAGGAAGGGGAAAAAGATAAACTCTCCAGAGTTAAGTTGTGAGTGTGGGGGGGTACAAGGTAGGGTGACAGAGGAAAGGGGAGGAGGAAAGGGGAGTAGGGAAAATATATAACTCATTAAAAAAAAAGGAAAAGAAAAAAACAGGAGAAAGAAGACTGACTATCACAAAAACCCATGCAAATACGCTTAGGAATAACCAACTATGCAACCCTACCATTTTTATGCAAGCCCATAGATAACATACAAAATTAGTATGGTTCTAATAAAGCTTTATTTATAAAATGAAGTGTCAGGGGTGGGGAGTGAGTAGTCACCAGTTCCTGTTCTATGTGATTTGTTACTTAAGACCAGAAAGTATCTTCTGGACCAACAACAACAACAAAAAAAAGTATATAAATGATCTCTTCTCCCTTTTTTTCTTGGCTTTCAGCTACACACAGGGTATGTGTATGTGTGACTTCTGAATTGGAAAGGCAGTGTGGTATTCAAACATAAGCAAAGCTTGGCGACAATGCAAAGTGACATGGACTCCGCATGTAATTAGATGGGTGACATGTGTTGGGAAAACTGCCTTGTGAGAGGCATAAATCTGTTCTAGAAAATGCAAAGGTAGATGCAACTTTGGAAGAAAATGGAGGAAGGAACCCTTGGAGGGCTCGGGGGGGGGGGACAAGAATGAGTGGCTTTGTGAATTTTAAGAATCTGTCTGATGTGGGGCAGTGGTTAGGAGTCTAGCTTTGGCTCTGAACACTCCTACTTTCCTTGGCAGGCTCCTCAAACTCACTCCATCTGTTTTGACGGTGGTAAAATGGGGGGGGAGAATAGTTATAAGGGTGGCACAAACCAAAACAAGTCAAGTTCCAATAACATCTGGCATGCAGTTACAGAGGCTGGTCATGTTAGCAAAGCAAACCTGTGGGATAACTATTCCAGGGCTCCCGAATGGAGCTGAAAACCCATCACAGCTAAAAATTCACATGTTGAAGGAAGCAACTGACATTCTGACAATACAAAACTCCTTGTTAAGAATTTCTAGTCATAGTTAACACCTAATTCCTTTTAAAAATTGAAAACTAACTCTAAAGAAAGTGATACTATTTGCAGCTCTCCTCAGCAGTAAAGAATGTCTTTATTCCCAGGACTCAGGAGGGAGTTTGAGGCCAGCCTGGTCTGCATAGTAAGTTCCAGGCCAGTCAAAGCTACACAGCAAGATCTTATCTCAAACAAAACCCCCAAAGACTTCTAAACATCAGAAGTAAAATCAGTATGTATTATGGATACAGGAGCAGAAAAGCACATTCTCACATACAGGCTGGAGGAGCCTGGCACCAGGGGTGTAGAAAGTGAGGCACATGGGAGTGATGGTGAATTAGTCCCTGCCAAATGCCAGGCAAACAAAAGGTCAATTTCCTTCTTCTCAGATTGACTTGTTTAACTTGCAGGAAATTAGCTATAGCTATAGTAACTCGAGAAGGAGAGGGAGGGAAGTGATAACAGGAGAGAGAAAGGAAGGTGGAATGAGAGAGAGAGAGAGAGAGAGAGAGAGAGAGAGAGAGAGAGAGAGAGAGAGAGAGAGAGAGAGAGAGAGGATAAAAAGGTAAATCTGGGGTGACAGAACCAATTCTTTAAGATTCCTTATAAAACTCGTGCATTAATAAGTTGTCCTACTCTACTTAAAATCCAGGAGGCTACAGCTGACTCTGAGTAAACAGGAGACAGAGAGCTTCCTAACTGCTATCTCAACTCTCACCCTGTTAATCTTTATGGTTGAAACTGATACTAAGGTTCACAGCACAAGAAGTAGCCAGACTTCCTCTTTAGTTTTCCTGAGCCCTGAATCCCCCAAGGGGCAGTACATGGAAGGTGGTGATGACTTGTTTTCATCTGCTGAGAAGAGATAGCACTCATCTTCCCTGTAACATTTCTTTCCAGGTCATCCCAGCAACAACAATGGCCTTGGCTTCGAGAAAAAGAGCATGCTGCAATAACAGGACAGGGGTGAGTAAGGAGCAGTGATCCTGGAAGCAGAAATACATTAACAGCCAATGGCATCCTAGCCATCAGCACCTGTTGGGCCTGAGTCTTGGACAAATGCTGTTAGGGCTTGTCAAATAGTCATATAGAGAGTGAGAAGACAGTTTTTCTTTTATCGTAGAAATTTAGCTTTGAGCCAGGCAGTGGTGGCATATGCTTTTAATGCCAGCACTGGGGAGGCAAAGGCAGGGTGATCTCTGTGACTTTGGGGCCAGCCAGGTCTACAGAACTAGTTCCAGTACAGCCAGAACTGTTACGCAGAGAAACTCCCCCAAACAAGCACGCCAACAAACAACAACAACAAAGAAATCTAGCTTTGGAACTTGCCTTTCGTCCTTTCCTCAGCCTTCAGTTCACCTACAGAATCACAAGTTTTTGAAATGAGGATTTATGTCATATCTAGAACTGTCAATTTCACAATACTAAGATACTTGTTTTGAGTAGTCTAGAAAATACTTAGGGCAAATGCACCCTATGTTTTTTAGTGGAGATGGAAGGGTTAGCTTGCTAGGTTAGTTGCTCTTAGTTCAGATTGTCTTTAAAGGAGACATCAATTATTTTTCAAACACTTAATATCTACCATATTTAATTCCTCAAAACCCTAATTTGGGCGGCAATGGTTAGATCTTAGTTTATTTTAATTAATAATCCATGATTTCGATGGGGGTTGTCTGTTTTCTTAAGACAAGCTCCCTTTATACAGCCCTGGTTGTCCTGGAACTCACTATGTAGAATGGGCTGGCTTTGGACCTGCAGAGATCCACCTGCCTCTGTCTCCTGAGTGCTGGGATTAAAGGCGTCTGCCATCATGCCTGGGAGATCTTGTTGTTGACCAAGACACTAATGGTCAGGGGGGGAAAGAAAAGGAAATAATTCACCAGGGTATTTTCCAATTGAAACCCACCAGACTTACAGTGTCAGTCCTTCCACACCATGAACAGGACACCGGGGGCCTAATTCTCTAAGGTAGGAATAGACCAATGACAAGCACCCATAATCAATACACAGGGCTGGGCTCAGCATCAAGGTTTTAAATCAATGGTTCCCATTCAGATGAGAACACACACAGATCTAGGGAGATTTGACAATTACAAGTGCCTGAATGGACCCCATGATTCTGTGTCAGTCTTTGGAAGCACCAGGCGATTGCAACATGGCGTGGGGAAGACCCACTGTACTAAAGGCAGTAATGGCCTACAGAACATAGGTTGTGCTTTAAAATATTTTAAATTATTTTATGTATGTGGGTGCTTTGCCTGCATTTATGCCCATGCCTATGGAGGCCAGAAGAGCCATCGGATTCCCTAAAAATGCAGTTACAGAGGGTTGAGCTAATACATGGAATAGCTGGGAATTGAACCTGGGTCCTCTCAAAGAACATCGATTATCCTTAACTACTGAGACACCGCTCCAGATTCAGAAGATAGATTTTTTTTCTTAAAGAGCATGCTTCTGGCATTCTCTGTTTATCTAGGAACAGGCACCACTTTAACTGTGGTATTTTTAATCTGTCTTTGTTCCTGCTACTTTGAAAGTAGTCCGCAAAGGTTAGTTTCTACTGCCTGTCACTTTTTTTTTTTTTGTCCTTACGTTTTTTTGAGGCAGTGTTTCTCTGTGCTTTGGAGGCTGTCCTGGAACTAACTCTTGTAGACCAGGCTGGTCTCGAACTCACAGAGATCCGCCTGCCTCTGCCTCCCGAGTGCTGGGAGTAAAGTCGTGCACCACCAATGCCTGGCTGTCACTTTTGCTCTTAAACTACATATGCTAGTGCAGTTTGACTCCACCTCACTTTTATATTATACTCACAAATTTTTAAGACATCCTGATTTACTTCTGATTCTTTGAACTTGAAAAGTATCTAGCACTTGAATTTTTCTCAAATCAAATTTCTATTAAGACTTTTTGCACATACCCTTTCATTAAAATGATCATCTTTAAACTGGGTGGTGGCAGTGCACGCCTTTAATCCCAGCACTTGTGAGGCAGAGGGAGGTGGATTTCTGTGAGTTCAAGGCTAGCCTGGTCTACAAAGTGAGTTCCAGGACAGGTTCTAAAGCTACACAGAGAAATCCTGTCTAGAAAAAAGCAAACAAACGAAACGAAACGAAAAAACACAGTACAACACACCAAAACAAAAGACCATCTTGTAAATGACCACTTAGGTTCTGTCTGTCAAATTCCGTGCTTCATCTGTTTGTGTGACTCAGATTCATAAAAGGCACAGACTTTCCCTCTGTGGTATTTTCAACTGTGGGCAGATTTAGAGCCTCCACCCCTACCCCAAAGTGACATGTGGCATTGTTGAGAAGGATTTTAGTTGTCATACTGGACGGAGTGGATGAACTGATAGTAGCATATGATGGGTCAAGGCCAGGGAGGCTAAGAATACCATCCTGCCTCGGAAGCGCCACAACAGCAAGATGCCAGCTTCAGTGTGCAGAGCTGCGCGGAGAGCTCTCAACCTTACTGCTCATTGAGTACTTCAGGGTGTTGGCCACTGGCCACTTACGGCAACAGCCAAACACAGACGGAGGAACTGGGAGCCAAGAGCCTAGAAACCAAAGCCCAGTGGAGGTTCAATGCAGTTAGAACTATATACAATAGGAAGGAAGAACCAGGTTTCAGTGGCCAGAAGGAAAATGAAAGCCCAGGAATATAAAAGTTGAGATTTTTCAGAGAGATTGGCAAGTGCAACCATCCTTTGGCAACTAATTCAACAGGAGACTTGGATCTCTATCCCCTTCATAAATCCGTACCTAACCAAACTGCAGTCTCAAAACTCAGGACCACATGGAGTCAGGGAGACGGCTAAGTCAGTAAAGTGTCTGACATATAAGCCAAAGAATCTGAGTTTGGATCCCTAGGGCTCACATAGAGGCTGGATACAGTGGCACGTACATATAACCCCAGTGTTAGGGCAGAAAGGTAGGTGCCAGAGCTCACTGGCTGGCCAGCCTAGCAAAATGGTTGCGCTGAAGGTTCAGTGAGGCCCTGCCTCAAAAATAAGGTGGAGAATGAAGCCATAAGGGAAGACACCCAACATCAACCTCTGGTTTACACTCCCCTCACACACATGGACACACATATGTGTGCTGAACACACCCACACAAACATGTACAAATACCATGAGCATATATACATCTACAAATACGGGGGAAAAATCTAGGACCACAGATTGACTGGAGAACTGCAATTAGTAACTGACTAAAAGTAAGACTTAGTGCTACACGATATTACTGTATAACTTGGAACAGTCACAGGACATATGACATGTGCAAATGTCTCTGCTTTGTTTTCCAGATGTTTCTTTCCTCACTCCTCAGTGTAATCACAATCATTGGTGCTGTGTATTGCATGCTGGTATCACTCCAGGCTCTCTCAGAAGGTCCTCTCATTTGTAACTCTCAAGCCAACAGTACTGTCTCTTGTGAATTTTCATTGAAAAACCTAAGGTGAGTAGCATTTTGTCACATTGTCTCACATAGCTGCAAACGCTAGGTTTTTCTCAGTTCTGACTTCTGGGACAAATATTCTTAGGGACTTGGCAACATAATACAATAGGCAATGTCTCACAAAGATGTGGAGGGGCTGCCACAACCCAAATGATCTGGGTTGTGGCAAATTATTATTGTTGTGGTTGTTGTGTGTGTTTGTACTGTAAATGTAGTATCTATGGAGGCCACAGGTGAGGGACTCGTATAGAATCAGAGTCATGGACACTTGGCAGTTACAAACTGCCCTTGGTGGGTGTTGAGAACTCAACTTGGGTCCTCTGAAGGACAGACAGTATGTGCTCTAAACAGCTGAGCCATCCCACCAGTCCCTAACTCATCACTACATTTGTAAACCACAGATGGCTTCATTATTTTGTGTATGGTGTTCATGCATTTGCAATGTTTTGTTGGTATGCGTGTGGACAGATGTGCACATATGTGCCAATGCATAAGGATGCCAGTGCTTGATGACATCTGGCCTCACCTTTTCTCCACTTTATTCACCAAGGCAGGGTCTCTCACTAAACCTGGAGCCTGACGACTCAGCTAGCCAGCTTGCCTCAGGGACTGCCTTGTTTCTGTCTCTCCCATTGCTGCAATTACATGTGGCCAGCCTGTCTTCCTGGTTTTTAATGGGTCCTGGGGTCCCGAACTCCGGTCCTCAGGCTTTCACATCAAGTTTTATTCATGGAAACACCACCCAGCCCTTTACTTCTGAAACTTAAAAAAATGAATAAAACACAAGAAACAGCAGCTAGAAGGTATATGTATTTATAGACAGAAGGTACTATGTATTTATAGACAGAAATAAAAATATCTACATCAGGTAGCAATATATTACATATACATCGTCTACTGAGACAATTCTATGGCTGAATTTAGGCATAATTTGCAAAACCAGGAAGACCAATCTAATTCATTAGCTACCTTTAATTAGCTACTTTGTGATATCCATCAGGTTTAACTTTTATAGTTTTATCAGACAATGTGTTTACCCATTACCTACTTTACAAAAAAGTCTCTCAAAATTTGTCTATCAGCTATTGTGAAATAAACAAAACCCAAAGAAATTCCTTTACTAGTAAGGACCATTTGAACTACCAACCACAGCTACTGTACACATTTAATCCTCAATGAATGACAATAGTCTACAGATATAGTGGGTCACAGGCCAAGCTTCGGGGACAGCAGCACTCAGACAGTCCCTCAGTCTAGCCAACACAACAGGGTGATCCCTATAGTTTCAGCAAATTCATAGTCTCATGGGCCATGTGCTGCAAATACTGTTATTTTCTCATGTCCCAAGTCAGTTGTTGGGAATCTAGAAATGGGCACTCCCTAAGAGTACTGCATTTTAAACATTCTGATAAAAATCATCTTGAGACAGATGTGTTAGGACTAAAAGCTTCTCGTTTTATGTTAGGAGAGGCACAAATCATTTTAATCAGATGTATTTAAAGTGTTGTGAATAAAAACTATCCATCTGGCCTCACTGCAGATCTAGGTGGAAAACTGGGCTGTGTGTGTGTTGGTTTGCTTTCCTACCTTTGGAAAGTAGGAAGGCTGTACAGATAGGTTCCAACACCTGACACTGTTGCTATTTCTTTTCAACTCGACATGGGAGAGTTATGTTATCTTACATGGTTCACCTTAAGACCAGTTCTATGGAGAATGATACAATGTAATTAAGTAAGGGTTTTAAGATTAGGGCTATGTTTATGTGCTCAGAAAACCAGATCTTAGCTATAGCTTCTGTATACAATCTTTAAAAACGTATATCACATCTTGCTATACTGGAGCTTTTATTTTGTTCATAGGCACATTTAACCCTTCTCTTTCCTCCCCCCAGTAACTTCCGTCCTGAGTCCTTTAATCTGCAGTGGTTCTTCGAAGACAATTGTGCTTCTCCTACTGGTTTAAAAAACTCTACCATCAATGACATACTCAGTAACTGGGGAGTACCTGATTCTGATTCTGAAGAAGACAGACACAGAATTTTCCACTTCTCAGTATTTCTGAGTCTCCTGCTGGTTGCAATCCTTGAGCTTCTGTTTGGGATCAGTCAGATACTCATTGGTTTCCTTGGTTGTCTGTGTGGTGTCTCTAGGCGGAGGGGTCAAATTGTGTAGCTTAAAGGGTAATAAACTAGAATATCAGTACTTCAAATAATCTGAAAATTACATTTAAAATATGTTTTTATAAGTTCAATAATGAAGCATCATTGGGAACGCCAAGTCATTTTAGTGCAAAAAGTTGCTTTTGGAACCATCTCTGAAACAACTTAAAAAAAAAAAATCAACGTGTCAAGCTGGACCATGGTGGCTCACCTTTAATCCCAGAACTCAGAGGCAGAGGCAGGTGGATCGCTGAGTTCAAGGCCAGTCTGGTGTACAGAGTAAGTTCCAGGACAGCCAGGGTTACATAAAGAAATCTTGTGTCAAAAAGCAAAATTAAAATCAATAAAACAAACAAATCAGCCTTTCACATATAAAGCATATTGTACATATAGCACATCTCCCCCTACAAAAGGTTTATCAGTGACTGATACTGGGGTGAAGTTAGTGAAACTTTGTTTTTTCTGTGTATGTTGAAAAAGACTTTTGTTAGATTTGATAATACTTTCATGGTTATAGAAGTAGGTGCCTTACTCTTAAGAAATATATATTTATATGTTTAGGGAAGAAGGCCATATTTTTAAAATACTTTACTCCAAACCTGAAGTTAACAGAGAAATGCTGTATTTAGCTGATAGACACATGGCAATTCATCCTACTCTGTTTTTATCTTTTCATGGTTTATGGTACTATCTTGAGAAAAATCAGTCTTTTAAAAGCTGGTTCCTATTTATGCTGATGTTTAAAAAGTAACAAAATGTACTTACTGTACTAAAATGTTATGAAACAGAGAAAACTAAAAACATACAATTTTCTGAATGTTATCACTCCTGCAATTGATTTCAATTTTTATCTCCACTTTGCTGGGTTTATGAAGGGTGGATTAAGGAAGTCCACGATTGCCTGAATAAAATAGCAACTATTTACTTAAGGAAGACTCACACACTAATTAACAGTCACAACAAGACAACTTCCCCTCCCCCCAAGCATTCCCATGGCCCATCTCCCAAGTGGTTCTAGTTGAAGACACTCACTGTGAAAATGCTTCTCTTTTCGAGGATGGGTATCTGCCTGGGTATGTATCTGTTGGGCATGATGTGTGTGCACTGGCAGAGGAGGCAGTACGGTCCCCAGACTGGGATTACAGAGGTTGTGAGCCACCACATAGGTGCTGGGAATTGAACCTGGGTCTTCAGTCAGAGCAGCCAGTGCTTGTGACCACTGAGGCATCTCTCCAGTCAGTCCTGGTGCTAGCATTTTCGTGTGTGATCCTTACACTACTACACTGTACTGTCCCACACCAAATCACAAGCTTCATATTTTACTAACTTCTGGTGTGACCCGTGCATAGCAGAGGACCTGTTACAAAGTAGTGCCTAGGTAACTTTTCTGCTGAATGAATGCTATTTTCAGCACCCAGACATTAGTGAAGACAATGCTTACTAATATCAGACTGCTAATAGACACAAAGTAAAAACAGATCACTGTACTTAAGTGAACAAATCAGGATCTGAGATGGGTCTTAAGACTTTTCTCATCACCCTGGAAAGGAGTGATGAGTTCCTGCGTCTGCTCAGTCAGAAAAAGAGAGACTTAAGTCTAAAAAAAAGAAGACCTCTGACTGGCAGGCTACTTTTTTGCTCTTTAGTCTTACGGGAACTGGAGCAACAAATTGAATACCTAAAGTCCACAGGCCATCTGACCTGAAGTTAGCATCTTTTGAGGGCATTTGACCCTTGATTTGGTATCCAAATTAGCAAATGCTTGTCAGTATACTTATGAACCGGTACCCTTTCCCACTCAACCCTAAAAGCAGCCACTTGTAGATCCGATGTTTCTTAACTCTCATTCCTATCTCCAAGTTCAATCAATTTCATTTTAGAATGTATTTGTATAGTTTTTGAATTTAAAACTCATTTTTATGTTTCTCAAGTTTCTCTTCCTCAGTACAACTTTTTATAATCCTAATTGCTTAAAAAATTATTTTTCTACATTTACATACTTACATGTGTGCCAACACCGTGCTTGTGGAAGTCAGAAGACAACTCCTAGGAGTCAGCTCTTTGCTTCACACTCAAGTCCCAGGGTCCGACAACAGCATCTTTACCTGTTATGTCATCTTGCCAGCCCAGGGTCCTCATTATTTAATATGCTTTCTTCTCTCCCACACCATTGCCCTAAATCTGTCAATTCCTCAAGGACAGAAAAAGTTTCTAAAGTATTTCCAGAAGCAGAAAGACAAATGTTGGAATTCTGAAGGTGGTGAGATCATTTCTGTTCTTAGTTCTTTGATGCTATTAGCCATAACTGTATCCTTCTGTCCCTCCAGTCCCTGGAATCTGTGTTTTCTGCTTATTGCAATGTCCGTATGCCTCTGCTCAAATATCTACAAAATATTTTCTGACTATTCTGACTAGGATTGAATTTGCTCCTCTTAATACCTCTTCCCATGCCTCCCACCCCCTGGGGAATTAACTTTTTCCTAATCATTGTAGGACATCCTATCTAAGAATGTTCCAGTTCTTTCTAATTGTCATCAGGGAAAATAATAGCTTTTGTACCAATCTCCCAGGAGTTCCTTTTATTTCCAGCCTTTTGGTGAAATCTTTTTCATGACTGCTCAGCAAAAGAAGTTATACATTTAATTATCAATGTCACACTAATCTAAGTACAAGAAGGAACCCTCCTCCTGAATTAATGGGGAAGCAAGAACATCAATGTGAAATCTACCTAAATCTTAGGACTTCCCTTCAACCTCTTGGTGCAAAGATCACTGATGATGTGTAAAGAATATTGCACCTGCTCATAAGAACTGTACTTCTGAATATTAAAGACTCCTAAACCTTGGCTTTATTCATGTCTAATTTTGTGAGATTTAGTGTATCAGCAACCAAATATTACAACAAGAAGGACAGTTTTATAAGGTTTTGTTTTGTTTTAAAAACCTGAATCTCTTGCATAGATATAATAAATTAGCAAGCCATTTAGAGTGCCAACAAGCCCAGGCAAGGGGTGGAGATCTGAGAAACCCAGGAGGCTCTTGTGACCCACAGGTCACTAATGCACTACTTGCTCCTGGGACAGGAAGACTCCGAAAAGATACTTAGCCCACAGCACCATTTGATAAATAAATCTTTCCATAGACATTGTTTTGGTTGACAGTTTATTAAGTACACTACATTTATACCTTATTTTTTAGTTACTTTTTAAATCGTTCACACATGAACTTGGTAAAAACATATTTTATAGAAAACTTAAGAAGAAAATCAGAACAACATATTGCACACAGATAAACTGCTGAATCATTAGGAGTTTTTACACGCCTTCTGTACAGATGATCAAGAAGAGTTAGGTGGCTTGGTTTTTCTTAAGTGCTGCACCAGACTATGACTTCAAAAACATTAATATTGTGATGCAGATACAAAAAGCATCTGTCAAACAAATGGGTTATTCATCTGAGAAACACTGTTTTCTTTTACAGATAGTTTTCTAAACTCACTCTTTATGACTGTCGTTTCTGTTTAGAGAATTAGCTGTACAGTCTGATGAGGCCCAAAAAATGATTTTCTTTAAAAACAAACAAACAAACCTAGAGCCTATTTACAAAACATGCAAAAGGCGAGAGTGTAGGTGCCACCGCAGAACTGGCTGAATGCAGATCAGTAATAGAACAGGCCCCTGTTTTCTGGAAGAAATACATTTTCAGGGCTTGCACTATAAAACGGCATACAATGCAAAGACAGAAACAATGAAGTTTGCAAATCCTTTATATTTCCAGGTGTTGAGACAATATATGTGAATGCTGAGGTTACCTCTAGCGTCGAAACCAGAGCCAACTATTAAGCAGCCAGAATGCTACGGTAATTGAATACATGACCATTTCTCTTTTAGCACGCTCTTTATTCTCCTCTTCTAGAAGTTGCAGACGTCTATTTAATTTGATTATCTAAGTGAAAGACAAATACAAAATAGTACTAATGCATATAGCAATCAGATTTAAAAAATCATACATTAACTTGTCAAAGAAATGATATCATAGAAAGTTCCATTTGGATAAAGATAAATGCAACTACAAACAGAAAACAAAATACTTCCCATAACAGATTAAACTGATTTACACATGCCTCTCCATTTCCATTCTGTAAATGCAAATTAGGGAGTGTGTAAGGACACTGTTGCACTGCGATGTTCTGGTGGCAACAGGGGAGGGTCTATTCCAGCAGGAGCACAGGATACCTGCTCCTCTCGGCCTCCTCCATGAGCCTCAGTTTTATAGTCTTGGACTTGGATAACTGTGTTCTCAGTCCACTCCAATACACAGACAGCCCCAAATGACCTATTATGGCGGGCCCTCTGGTATACATGTGGCATACATAATGAGAACATCAAATATGCCTTCCCTGAATGCCTCTGTTTAAAGATAGCAGACATGCATATTAAAAATAAGCACATGAGAACTAGTTACAAGACAGGGCTCATGGGTAGGGTTCCAAACTATGTATGTAGAGGAAGTCGGAAAACTCAAAGCAGTGATTTCTAAAATGACAGTAACAAAGGTCCCCAAAGTGACTGTCCATATAGCAAAAGCAAAACACACAATTGGTTTATTAGTACATCAAAATTCTTTGATATTTTCCAGATTATATAAGTCATTTTGGTAGCAAAGTTTTACACTGGTCAAAAGCACTTGAGTGGTTTAACAAATCTTTAATAAATATAAGAAAGTTAATTATGGCTTATTAGATAGCCTGAATTCATGGGCTCCATAGCAGAGAAAATACTAAATTATGCAAACTATTACTCTCAAGCATTTCACAGAGATAGGCTTAGGTAGCTTTTTATTTGGGGCGGTAATTACCTGCCGTCTCAACGAAGCTGCATCTACCACAGTCATGTCATCTGATGCTCCTTCAATAGCTGCATCTATGTGTGAGATGCCATACCTAGCAGATAGGATATTGAAACACAAGAGTAAACATCAAGTCATGTGTTGTGTCCTATACTACTCAAAGAAGTATTCAAAAAACTTCTTAATAATATAAATAAGCATTCCCATTTGAATTGACACAAATAAGGAAAGGTAGCTTAAGCCAAGTACCTATGATGCTGGGAAAGATGAAAAAAAAAAAAAAAACTCTTCCTAGATACTTTTTTTTTTCAAGGCAGAAAATGCAGCAATGTTAAAGGAAGGATCCCTGTCTGAAAAGGCCTCAGAACTGCCAAAGACACACAAGAGTTATATATGAGCCATGTCCATGCACCCTTCTATAGACAAAGACTCAATGCCAGGGAATGCAAAGTCAACTACAGATGGAAGACTGATCATATATTACTTTCCTACTTCTGCCTGCCTTTCTTTTGCAGTTTTTCACTTCTGATTTCCACTTACTCTTTATTGTATTCTCCCACAAAAATAAGTATACAATCTTCTAAATCTCTTATAACTATACTTAGCTACAGAACTGGCTCAATAATAAGTCAACAAGAGGCTACATATAAAATAATAATGCTGAAAAATCACCAATACAGTGCAGAGAAAGAAGATTAAATAGTACTTTTGTTAAAATGTATTCATGTCTAAAAGGCCACCTGGGAATACAGCGGCATTTTAGAGATGGTCTCAAACTTGCTATATGGCCATCTATTCTTGATCCTCCTGCCTCATCCTCCCAAGTATTGGGGTTATAAGCATGTACCACCAAGTCTGGCGTTTTAAAATAAAAATAAAAAAATAAGTAGGTAGAAATGCAATTTCCTCCATTTGTCCAGGTTTCTACAGTTTTAAGAAAATGTGAACCTTTGATGTGTGTGTGTGTGTGTGTGTGTGTGTGTGTCTGAGTGTATTCCACTTGAGTACATGAGGAGGCCAGGAGACAGCACTGCATCTCCTGGAGCTGGAATTACTGATGGTGACTATGAACTGACCACACAAGTGCTGGGAAACGAACCTGAGGACTCTGCAAGTTCAGCCAGCATTCTTAACTTGCTAAGCCATCTCTCCAGCACCAGGGTTCTACACTTTAAAATTCATTTTAATGAACACTTTTACTAAGATATATTTCATACACAGTATAATTTATTTACGTGTATCTACTTTATGTTCCATATGGTCATTTCAGTGAAATGACATGGTAGACTTTACAAGAGTAGACTATAACTAAAATTAAAAGTTATTCTTATGTAAGCTACACAGAGTTGGCACATGGATCATCTACTTTAATATTCCCAGCAACTTCCCTATATAACCTTACATAAAGGGATAAAGTAGAATTATATATTTCATTCAGGTATGCTAGTATGTCTATACACAAAGTTCTACTCCTTCAAATGTTAAAAGCACCTTAAATAATCAATGGCATGTACCTCTTTTAGATAATGTACAGCAATCTCTGACTTACACTTTCTCTTATGGCTAGGTCATTAGCTATGTCTTCCCTCTTAGAAACAATGTGTCTCAAAATACTTAAACTTCACCAGTTAAGAGAAATAAACTCAGTTCCTAAGTAGACAATGGAACTGAGAGTTTATAAACTGAGCAAACTTCTCAGAAATACTAAAGCAGAAGTATGAAGATTAGGAGTGTAGCTCAGCGGTCGAACACTTGCTTACACACGCAACTCCCCAGGTTTGTCCTCAGAACCACAACCTGCCGCTACAAATTATTAAATATTAGTGGGGAAAAATATGAGTCAGAGATTTTTCTTTTCTACATTTTATGTTCAAAATAATAAAACTTTTCTCCAAGGTCACACATGAGATGAGTAACTAGAGGGGGCTATCAAAGAATACCAGCACCAGTATCAAAGGTGACTGCAGGGCTGGGGACACTCAGCCAGTAATGCTTACAGTCCAAAGTGGGGAACCTAAGTTTGATCCCCAGAACACATGTTAAAAATAAGAAAGCTGGGCACAGTAATTCCAGTGTCAGGGAGGCAGTGACAGGAGGAGTCCTGTGGTTTGCTGGCAAGCCAATTTGGCCCAATCAGCAAGTTTCAAGCAAAGCGAGAGACCCCGTCTCAAAAACCAAGGTGAATCCATCACCCAAGGCCGACCTTTGGCTCTACATGCATATGCACTTGGACACACACAGGCACCTCCCACCCCCTGCCATACACAAAGGTAAAGGAACGGACAAGCTCATACACATCAACATACACACCACACAAAGGGAACTAACCTTAACAAGGAAACAAAGTATGCATGAAAAAATTATCATTTTAATCTGAATCAACCAGTTTTATAAAGATAATTTTTCATTTGTAAAAAAGTACATAACAAGATGTCATCTTCAATTAAAAACAAAAAGTATGAAATAATTGTAAACAAAAGCTATCTCTCAGAACTAAAAACTCTAACAATTACTGCCATGCCACTCACTGAAAACACCTTCAGAGAAAGTTAAAGGTATTAAAAACAAACAGAAAACTATCAGGGGAAACTAGTGTGGCCTACATTAAGATGAAGAAGAAACGAGCAGCACGTGGTCAGGGATCACCAAGGCAACATGGATGAGATTAACAACAAATGGATGGTTCCCTTTTCTCTTGCTTAGGAACATGCCAGCCTCTTATGACGAAGAGAAACTCACTGTGACAGCACAATTCTACTTAAAGCTGGCTTGGAAAATTAGAGTGGTAACATATGATTAGTGGCAGCATCTATCTTCTGTGTCCTTGCAGAAGATAGGGGAACTACTTGAAGGTTTTGGCCCCTGAGAGCATACATTGTACCTGCTGCTCCTTGTCCCTTCATGACTTGGGCTAAGCATATCTGATAATATGAAAAGGGTAAATACAAGAGACAAAGGCTCAAATCAATAGGTGATAAAAAGATATATACATAAGACAAGCTTT